AAACTCACAATGTGACTAATATTTATATGAAAACACAATTTTGAAAATGAAAACTAAAACTGCAGAAGTACTTCCAAATTTACAGTAATCAAGAAAACTTTGTTTGGTCATAAATACAGACATACTGATCACTACCACAATGCAGAAAGTCCCCAAATGGATGCACACATTTTATGGTTGATCAATTTTCAACAAATTTGCCAAGGTAGTTCAAAGAAGAAAAACATTACCACAACAGAGCACACAGGAAGGTTTTGGCATTAGGAAAATGATCTGTAACTAGACCGTGGTGATGGTTATATACCGTCATACATCTGTAAAAGCTCAAAGAACTGCACACTCTACATGAGCACATTTTATTGCATGTAAGTTACACCTCAGTAAAGCTGAATGAGTAAAAAGGAAAAGGTCAGAGTGAAAAGATATGCTCATTGTCCGACACTACAGGTAACTATACAAAATACAGTAATTATGCCTGCAAATCAGTAAGAAAACTACCTTCACTAAAAAAGATTTATATAGGTTACTGGTAGAAAAAAATCCAAGTGTCTCCTTAAAATGACACTTTTTTAATTGTACACATACTAAAAGAAGTACAAACTAAAACAGAAAGCATACCCAACCAGCAGAAGAATAAAAACTAAGTTATAGGACCCCCTAGTTTCAGGGCTAATAAGGATATGAGAAAGGTGAATTCTACTACACAGCACTTTAGGTTGTTACACTTCCTGGAGACACCAATTTCACAACATCTGGCAAGCTGACAAAATACTCACTACCACAACTGCACCTCTGGGTACATGGCTTAGAGAAAATCCTACCTATGCACAGGAGGAAACCCCTATAGGAGCCTGCATTCAGAACTGCTGATAATAGGAAAATTAGAAATAACTTGGTGTTTATGAGCAATAAACTGCACAAATAAAATGTGACATTCATTAAATGGTTAAGATTAAAGAAATATACATACATACAGTTAAAAAATATAATGCTGAGGAACATGTTATACAGTGGCGTATTCAATATGAATACATCTAAAACATGCCAAACTATGCCTGAAAATGAATCGGATGAATCTGCATGTATTTAAATATGGCAAGGCATCCTGAGGGAAGAGGAAAGAAGCAGATGGGTTTGGAAGCAAATTAAACTGATTTTGGTGTTACGAAAATGTTTGAGTTACTCTGCAGTAAAAATGAGGAAAGGTTAGTATTTTCTTATTTTAATCACACCTGAGTATTAGGTAGGTTTGTATAATCTTTAATATTTCAAAAGTCAAATAATTTTCAAACCTATTAAATTTATCAAAAGTAAAAATTAATAATTTTCAGTGAATCTCTTGTACTCTGAGTTCACTTTAATCTCAAAATGAGTGTTTACCATGAAAAATTCAGATCTCAAGATCTCTTTTTTTTTTTTTTTTTCCGGTACTGGGGATTGAACTCACGACCTTGCACTTGCTGGGCAGGCGCTGTGCCACTGAGCTAAATCCTTAGCCCCTAAACTTCAGTATTTCACAGTCTACAAATTGAATTTACTAATCTTTTGTTGCTGACTTTCAAATCTTTAGAATTTGCAGATTTCCATAAAAAAATCACAAGGCCAAGCACTATGTGACTAAATAAATCATTTTTTTCTTTTATTCTCACCATTTCTGTGGATCACACCTCTATCTCTGACTACTAGATTTGTTGGTAGAACTGATTTTGGGGCCCTTCATGTGGTCACTGTGTCTGTTTACATGATATCCAAGGCCCACAGACCCTTGGGAGAACCTTCTTTAGTGCTTGAGATTCATTCGGCTGGCTTATTATCTTCGCCATTACTTCCACACTCACATTTAGTCTTTCAGTCCACATAAACATGATCATTTGAACATTCATAAATGAAGAAACAAACTCTATTTTATTTTTTTTTTTTTTGGTACCAGGAATTGAACTCAGGACCTTGAGCTTGCCAGGCAGGCACTTATGCCACTGAGCTGTATCCCCAGCAGAAAGCAACTTATAAAACTATGTTCAACTATAAGAACATACTTAATCAGTCAACTTAAAAGCCACCTCTGTGTTTATTACCATCATTTAGTGGCTTCTTCTGATTAAAAACTCACACTGCAATAATTATTGTCTCAAAGTATCACTTACCTAGACATAAACATGGAAGGGTTTCACTGTATTAAATATAAGGGGATATTCAGTGAGTCTTTCCTGCATAGTCATCCGCAGGCCTTCCAACAGTGAAGGTACTTCAACAATGGTTTTGAAGAAAAAATAATGAAGTTCCTTTATAAAAAATAAAAGGCATAAATAAAATGTTAAAATATTTTATTAGAGTTTTATTATTGCTTTTATTAGTGCTTCTATTCGTTTTTATTAGTGCATGTTAGTATTACAAAATGGTGTGGTTTGTTTGGCATGTTTGTACGTGCATCTAACCTATCTTGATCTCTTTCAATACTACCTATCCCTCTTCTTTTTCCTTTCCCCTGTCAGGGAAGC